GGGGCACGCGGGCATTGTCGGTCACCCGAAGGTGCAGACGACCTTTTTCTTTGCCTGCGTCCCCTGAGTACACCGGCGTGGTGAGGAGCAGCACCTCTCTTCCCTCGATTTCCGCTGGCATGAAGCCGCTCTGGGCGCCGTCCCCTCCTTCGCGCCTCGGCGAGGTGCCCCGCACGCGGGAAATCGGCTCACCCACTTGAGACCAGATTTTCCCGGCCGCAGTGGACTCGTACACCTTGTAGTAGCCGTCCTCGCAGGAGGCGAGCATGAGGAGTTTCTTTTCGTCTCCGCCCCACTCCACGATGGACGGGTCCCTGCAGCCCTTACCGGTCGTACGGGACGAAAGCTCCCACTTCTTCTTTGAGGGCGTGAGGCGCATGACCAGCAAGACGCTCTTTCCATCCTTGTCCTTGGCCTGCATGGGGAACGCAAGAGTGCCGTCGCGCAGCACAACACCCGAGCCCCCGCCGCCAGACAACTCAGTGAGTGAGTTATGGAGCCCCATAGATGCGGCGTCCAACGCATGTGTCTTACTCCACACGATTTTCTTCCCGTCATCGCCGTTGTCAGTCACAGTTCCATTCACCAGCAACAGCCCCCAGTGTTTTGCGGCGGCGCCTTTAGTTTCAGATGGTGCACGGCTGTATTTTCCCAGCAGCATGTAGACCTCGTGGCCACGCACAAGTGTTGCCGGCCGCATTATCTCCTTCACCCCGACGCCGTCCGTGCCGTCTTTCTTTAGCAGCTGCGCGGCGAACGAAGTTGCGTCCGCCGCCGAGATCTCCGTTGCAGCACCCGCAGCGTTCTTTAGGTGCCTCGACACAATACCAATAAGAACCTCGGCTCCGCCACCTCCCTTCCTGTACTCAGCTTCCGCAACGGCAAAGACATCTTCACCCACCTTCACAAGGCTGGGGACGCGGAGGGAGCTGACTGAGAAACCAGCGTCCACGCTCTCTTTCCAGTTGGCGTCGGGCACCGCTGTCGTCCCTGCCAGTGGATCAACGACCGTCTTTGGAGCACTCTCCACCGCGTGCACAGCCGCACTGTTGCCGCAGCATATCAACGCGCAGAGGAGGAGCAGCGGCGCCGCAGAGGAAAACAGACGCCGGGGCATGTTGGACCGTTGACGATCTCACTCTCTTCACTCCCTGCGGCGGATCCGCTCAGGCCGAAACGACTGTGCGTGTGAGTTGATTGCTGGTGGTGGTGGCTGCAGAGCCCTCAAAGCGCACAGCGGCTGCAAGCAGCGCTTGGTCTCTTTTCCTTCGGCGTGGGTGTGGGGGCGGAAAAAAAAGTGGCATAAAGAAAAAGTAACAAGACGGAGGCGTGTCGGCGCACCGGCAGAAGAGGGACTTAAGAACGGCGCTGGGGCCCACACGGCAGCGGTGGGCATCGCCCAGGACGCAAACTAAAAGAAGAGGGAGAAGAGAAATGACTAATCCCCGCAGGAGCCCAAAAGGAAAAGCAAAAATAAATTACTTCGGCAGGTGCTTCTTTACCTCACGCGTCCAGCAGCACAAGAGGACTGGGAGGGTGTGTGTGTGTATTTTAATACCTGCACCAAATAAAAAAAAAAGAAAGAACTGCTTCGGTCGCACACACAACCACACAAACAGACACATCGCATCACGTTTGCACCTCACGGTGGCCGCGGCCTCGTGCCTCATTTGGGCACATCCGTGCGGCGCACAGCAATGCGGCCGGCACCGTGTGTGTGTGTGGTGGTGGGTGTGTGGGAGAAGCGGCAAACAAGAGGGGGAAAAGGGTGCGCCGCCCATGGGGACGCGCGTGGAGTGGAGAAGCAAGAAAAACAAAATAAAAAGGAAGCAAGCCTCAGAGCAAAAGATGATTCTCCCACAGGGAGGAGAAGCAAAATGGATACAGAAAGCGTACTCCTCGTCCCTGCCAGGGTGTGTGTGTTTATATTTTGTCTTCACCGCCTACGCAGCAGCGCCGACAAGGGCAGCCGTGAGCAGCAGCGACATCAGCAGCAGAGGTGCACGCAGAAGCAGAGCGTTGGCGGCAGTACCGTCCGCAGAATTGGCCACAGTTTTCTGAGTGGCGCTGCTGTTGGTGGCGGCTTCATGCGCCGAAGCCTGCGTGGCACCGGCAGTGGACTGCGCGGGGCTTGCCAAGTCGCTGCCGTGCCCAGTCGTCGTTGGAATTTCCGTACCGCCTCG